TCCCCCGACAGCTGGGCATCCAATCTGTTGCCTTGAATCCCATGCAGCTGCTTGTACAAGTACCAACTGTTGGTGAGCACCGAGGTAGGCTTACAGGCTTCATGTCCTAGCCCTGATTGCTGAAAATCGGCAACCACCATCGCCTCCGACTCTTTGAGACGGCTTACTTCCGTGTTAGCGAAGAAAGATGCAGCATCTGGGCGGTCTTGCGGGCCCTCAAGCACAAACAAGACATCACCCTCCGTAGCGACTGACGCCAGCCGATACAGATACAGGAATCGCATGTAAAGCAAGTTCGCCTCCCAGAGTCGTTGGCGTTCCGCAGCCGTGAGACCTTCTTTACCATAGCGCTCCGGACCCTCTCTCGCCCGAATACACCGAGGCCCATGCTCCCACTGACCCATCTCCCGACAGACGGAATACGTTCCACGAGGTGGACCCCCAATGACAGCCCACACCTTCCCACTGTTGCACAATTGGCACAAGTACTGAAACAGCTCTTGGCCTAGCAGATCGGCTCCTCTGTTGATGTCTACAGCGAGTACAAAGACCCCATTCGGTAAGTGGCCCAGCTCCCTTGCCGAAGTCTGTCCTGAAAAGACATGTAACACTACTCCTTGAGCCCTTTGTACCCTGCGGCGTACCCGACGATTGAAAGGAAGCTCTCCACCTCTGACCTCCCCCCTTTTACACGAAGGTACTGCCGCCAACAACTCCACAGGTGCTCCCGGACAAAGCCACTGCAGCCACCGCAAAGCAGCCACGTCTCCAGCGTCCTCGTTCATATCCTTTTCGATGTTTTGAGCAGTTTCGGAGTTCATCGCGAGGCTCCTAAGGTACAAGGCCCGCTGCATGATGCAAGCCCTGTGATTTTCCAACTCCTGAATCAAATCAATAGCAAGCTGATATGGAACCTCAGGGCACAGAGACGTCATGGTGATAGGCAACACCCCTCGAACTGGATGAGTGACCTCGCATGAGCTGTGGTCCCATTTCACGGAACAGTTCAACTCCGCAATCAGAGCACCCAAGGGTACAATAGGCGCGCAGCTACTCTCAGTAACTACCGTGCCTACAGGATTGATCCTTAACGCAGCGCTTCCTACAGCCAAGTTGACACGGGTTTCTTTGCACAAGGATAACTCGCCCTCAGCGGCCTGGCGAAGGGCATGCGTCGCACCTCCATCCAAAAGGCCATTCGGCTTAGCCTGACACTTCCTAAGCGCATGTTGCAGCATCCCCTCTGGAATACCACCCTCAACCGTGTCGTCACCTTCTGGGTCTACTTTCTGATCAGAAGACGTGTTGTCACCAGTGCTACCCTGGGTTACTTGGTCAGCAGCCCTGAACGCAGCAATCCGAAACCCTTTTAAAATACGCGCGCACTCTTCTACCAGCACCTGCGTAGAGTCCGCACTGCTTTGTGCTGCCGGTCCTGTTTGAGCGGACCCTTGACCTGAATCATTTGGCATGGACCCCATAGCGGCAACTTGAGGAGCAGCACCTTTCCCTTGGGGCTGGAGTGAGTTTGAGCCTGTTTTAGGAGCATTCCCCGACGTCCCGGTAGCAACATGAGCATTCGAAGAATTGGCATTTGCATTTGAGGAGGATGACTCCCCCCAAGGAGGATTCCCCTCCTTGCCCTTTCCCTTTGGTCCCGTTGGACGCTCACACTTGTCTTGACGGTGCGTCGTACTTCCACAATTGAAGCATCGACTCTCACCCTTAGCCTGGCCAAAGTTGTGCACAGCCCGACATGCCCGTCCCTTGGTACAACCCGCCTCTGTTAGGTAGAACTTGCACGGCTGTCCCTCAAGTTTGCCTTTCCCCTTCCCTTTACCTTTAGCTTCCTCTGTTGGAGCAGGAGGGCTTCCAGGTGATTTGGCTTTGGCCTGAGGAGTGGTTGAAGAAGCATCCACCTCAGCTTTGGCTACCTTGGGAGGTTTGGGTCCCTTAGGAGTGGTATCTTCACCAGAAACAGCCAGCATGTCACACTCTGACAGGAGGATCTTCGAGTAATCCTTAACTTTCTCCAGAGTAGGCTGATGATCAAGTTGTAATGTGTGTCTGGCCGAGCTACAGCGAAAGCTTACATGAGGATGCCGCTTGAGAATCGCACTGACAACCCCATCAAGACCTTTCAAAAGAATCGAGCAATCAGGTATAGCTACCTGCATGGTGGCTGCCCTAGCCAACGCCCGGTGCCAAGCTCGGAGCCTAGAGCACGCCTCTGATGCCGCATTGGAAGGCCCAGGATTAGTCAAAGTCTCCAAGAGCCGAACCCTTTCCTCAACCCCTCCCGACTAAAAGAGCCTATACACATGGTACAGCACCCCCACGCAATGCGAACATCGTGATGCCACCAATGCTTGCTTGACAGTCTCTGGAACTGCCCCTTGCAGCATCGCAAATGCCCGACTCTCTAAGCGCCTGAATTTCAAATCCCCTAGAGTTTTAGAGACGTTAGGTTGTATCAGCGCCTTCTCTGATGCGGGTGCTTCGCACCACCTTTGATACCAGGATCTGGCCTCATAAAGCACACGTTTCCACCACAACGAACTCCAAGGCGCCAGGTCCGCCATGATGGGTTCCAGCAGGTGAACCCAGTCTGAGGCTCTGGTCGCTGCGTCTGAGTCTGCAGCAGGCTCTTCCAAAGCTGTGCCAGTACACTCTATCTCCGGGGGCATACGGGTCTTTGTTCGAGACACTACCGAATCCACCTTGATTGGGAAGAGAAGGAGGTACATCTCTCGGGTCCATTAGAGGAGCAACTGAAGTTGCAGGAAGATTTCCATGCGGTCCGGCATGGAGCTCTGTTCCTACATCCATCCCCCAGTCCCCATAATGCTCATTCCCTGGCACTGACAAGTCAGGAAAGCCGCTATACAACGACTCTTCATGATTACGCCCTGAAAATTCAAACCCCTCAACCAATCCGTACTGTCCCTGACGTGGTGACCTCGGTGGCTCACCTGATGGAATCGGAGTGCCCTGTGGCGTTGTGCAGACTCGGCTTTCCGTTTTCTGAAGTTGTTCAGGGGTTCTAGGCATAGGGCTAACAGCACGATTACGATTCGGCCTAAGGGTTCCAGACACGTCCAGCAGTTCTCCTACTGAAGGGGGGGAACTCACCAAAGACTCTCGGGAAACCGCTCTCGCTTCTTCTCTAGCCCTTCTATACCCTTCTTGCAAACCCTCCAAATAATCAGGAGCATTTCTCTCCTTGCCTGACACATACCTTCCCAAAGATGACCCTGAAGACTCCTTACCCGGGTGACGCCAACTCGACTGCTCCTCGCCAGCATTTGCAGGACCCTGCAGCTCGTCTCTTAAGGTGTGGGACCCCCCTGAAGCAGCAGATTTCATAGCATTGTCTTCTTCAAGCTTCTCTAGACGTTGTACAATACTACTATTCTGCTCAAAAAGGCTCTCCAACAACCCCTTCATTTGAGTCAGGATCTGTCGTTCAGCTGGTCGAAGGCCTGGTGGTTGGGCCACAGCAGCCGTCTCAATCGACTCAACCTCTGCAGCAGGAACAGTCGCTCCCATTCCAGCCCCATATGGTTGATCCTCTGCAGACGCGCTCTGTCCGCGCCCCTTTCCCAAACGGCCCATTGGTCCAACCGCCAAGGTATCATCCGGTGGTCCAAGCACTTGTGGTGGTCCCTGAGGGGCTTGAGGTAGCCCTCCAGCGTCGTCTACCGCCCTCAACTCTGTAGATGCGCTAGTTTGCTCAGATCCAGTCGCCGCTTCATTCAGAAACGCTGGTCTCGCTGCCCTCAACCTAGCCTCCTCCTGCATCCTCTCTGACCAGAAGGGATTGACTGGATTATCTCGGGCCATCGCATCTCCAGCAGCAGTGAGCGCAACCTCCTGGGCACCTTCCCCAGCTGTCCTCTCAGCAGTGTCTCCACTCCCAGCAACCGCAGTCCTCTCCTGGGAACGTACTGCCACCTCACCACCTAGATCAAACTCCGGGTCATCTTCCCTCCGACTTCTCCTTCTACGAAGACTGGAGTCGTCCATGGCACTCTAGCGAAGCACGCAGGGCAACAGGTCGAGCCTTGGGCTCATAACCTGAGCCTTTCTAAAAACCCTCTTTTCTAATCTCAAGCAAGAAATGGCCTCCATCGATCTCGCACTTCCTGATTTGTGCGTGTCATCCTTTGTGCATTGTAGGGAAGGACAGAGGGTGCCTTCACACCCTAAACCCTAAACCCCTAAAGGATCCAACTGTCACCATCCAGGGCTTCTAGTGGGAGGTCTCGGAGCACAGCTTCCGAAGTGTTTTGGATTTTGGGTTCCTTTTAAAGGGATCCTTTCAGAGGGTTCTATAAGCATTCTATACGGGCTCTATGACATAGGAGCCTTACATACTCAGAAGGATTAGGAGAATTTCGGGATTTGTTGGGGGCCTCGTTTCCCAAAGCCCGGGGTGCTGTTTCCCTGAGCTGCCTGAGTGTGACCACCGCAAGCCCTAAACCCTTCATGTCTTAACCCTAAGCCTTCAAGCCTAAACCTTACATCCTCGAACCTTAAACCCTATAAAGCCCTAATGTTTATAGCCTCAGCCCAGAAACCTCAACCCAGGCCTCTCGACTCCCAGGAAACCCTCAGTTGTAACCGATGTATCAGGCCACAGTGTATCCTTTCGGCGTGCAGGCAGGTTTAGGGTTTAAGGTTTTGGATATTTGAGGGTTTCGGATGTTTGAGGAGTTTAGGGTTTAGGATATTTTCTGGGACGACATGCAAAAGGTGTTTAGGCTCCTGGCCTGCCATCATCTGCTAGAGCACCGTACTGTGCTATGCTCACGAATATTCTATCGTCATAGACGTGTTGTGCTGTAGGGCTGGGTTTAAAGGGTTTGGAGTCGGTACAGACTATCAGGGTTTAGCTTTCAAGGTTTGGGGTTCAGGGTTGAGCTTTCGAGGTTTCGGATTCAGAGGGTTTCAAAAAAGGCCAGTAGTTCAGAGTCGGCTCAGGGTCGCCCGCACATTAGGTGGCCTTCCGCAACCCGAAAATCATCTACAGCTCCAGCTGCTTGCGCAACCTCCTCCTCATTCCAGGCCCACCTTCTGCAAATTTGATCCTGCACACGGGGTTGCTGTCATTGTCAGCACCAGAGCGTCCTCGAGACCTATGTAGGCGGCAGGAATCTTTATAATCCGGGGTAGCCCTCCGAGCTCGGATAAGTGGGGATGACATTGGGCGTTGTGGAGTGGTCCTTTCCAGCGTCCCCTCGTCAGTCATGAATGTGTCGTTTGCTGGTCATAGTTTTTGTCCACATCTCATTTGCTCTTACTCCTCCTGCTCCTACTGGTGCTACGACTACGACTATATAACTGTCTGTGTTTGCCACCGTGTCATCACTGCTGGACGACTTTGTCACACATGTCGTTTTCATGGCCATGATGATGTAGCATTCTTTCTAGTCACTCTAGCTGTAGTCTTTCTACTTATAGTGATCGTAGACTTGCTGCCGTTGTAATAAGTACGGTTCGGTTCGTTCATATGCTCCTTCCTTCTGCCATTCCTGCTTCCTTCCTTCCTTCCTTGCTTCCTTCCTTTATTCCTTCCTTCCCTCCTTCCCTCCTTCCCTCCTTCCTTCCCTCCTTCCTTCCTTCCTTCCTTCCTTCCTTCCTTCCTGTTGCATGGACGATGCATGGACCCCAATAGAGGCGACTCCAAATTGTAGGATCATGATCCATATGGTGCCGGCGCCCTGAAGGGGTAGCTCGAGGCCCAGGCCAAAGCCGCACAACCCGAACCCTAAACCCCGACAACTCCAAACCCTAAACTCAAAGCCGTATAAACCTCAAAGCTAGCCGACAACCGCAGCCCCCGAAGCCCTAATCCCCTACGATGCCTACAAAGCCCAACATCGCGCATAATAAAACCATCATCAAAACCTATCAAACCCCTACATAGCCACACATTAAATCAGCAAGACTGTAAGGCCCCTTATGACACACTATGAGAAGCCACATCTATAAGACGTACAAGAGCCCATAATGCCCATACAACATTGCTTCAACTATCTATGAGAAGCCACATCTATAAGACATAAAAAGCATATAACGCCCATGCAACATTTTTTTCCACTGTCAAGGCCTCCAAATCATCGCCGTTTGGCGCGATCCCGTCGACTGGCTCTGGAGCTCCCTTCACCGGAGCTTCGAAGGCTTCGAGGACGCAGAGGAGGAGTCCTCAGCCCTGGAGAGGCTTTAGGGCGTACCTTTAATGGCCCATAGTAGTTCCTTTTTGGGATTCCCTAATAGGATTCTAAATATGACCCCCCAAAAGGAACTACTTTAGGGCCTATGGGTACGTAGGGGTAGAGGGTTTATGGGAGTTTGGCGGTTTAAGGGTGTTTGGGGGAGTTGGGTTTTTAGGTAGGCTACAAGCTTGTCTGATTCTGTTGAACTTTACTGGAGTCGGGAGCGTAGACACTCAGTTGCAGTCCGATGGACCATACAATTTGTTACAATGTGCCAGAAGATAGCAAGTTACACGTCAAGGACTGAAGCCTGAAAGTATTCGTCCTTAGGCGGAAATCCTGGACACTGCACCCTGTGCCATCACAAAAACCGATTCTCTTTATACTTTATAAACACCGGGTGAACGTTTTCCGGCTTTTTGCAGTCCGAAATATAACCTGAATAGCGACCAATCCTATTCCTCAGTCAGGGTTTCTGAATATGATACCCTAATGACCATTTTGCAATTGTTTGGATGTATCGTACCTGTTATCGTAACCTTTGTAGATCCTTGTCAAATTCCGAAATCCTAAGCCCCAAATCCGAAACGTCCTCAACCTTGCAGCTCCCAGTATCCGCAAGACCCCAGTGTCCGCAAGAGGAGATCGCGAGGGCATGGTCGATTTTCGCAGAGTCCACGAAGGAGGGAACTGGGGCGAGCACTTTCAGCCAACATACATATACATACATATGCATGTGAATACACAAACAATGATGTATAGATTATATATGTATACATACATGTGTATATATACACATACAGAGCGAGTATACAGAGAGACCCCGAGAGTTGCAGAACATGTCCTATCAAAAGGCAGATGACACATTCATTTGCATATACACATCTATGTAGATATGGATATATGTATGTTTATATATATATATATACATATATATATATATATATTCTACGCATGCAGAGTTTCGACACGAGACAGTCCTACTATTCATCTCTCTGAGCAGGGAGAAGACCCGTCGACACTCCAGCCACTGCAGGAGCAAGGAGGTGGTACTTGGGCAGCCTTTGAGCCGGACATAGGGTAGAGGTTTCGGCTTTGGTGAGTTTTTTGAACGCAAGGTTTACAGGGCGGTGCGAAGGTGTTCGGGTAGCCAAACGAGTGTATGACGACTAGTGTTATGAGCCTTTGCGAAGCTGGTTCCCGACTCGTTGATTCGTTGCTTTCGATCAAGACGCAGCTGATCTCGACGTCAAGCGTGAGCGTGTTTGGAGGAGCGATGTTTGCAGTCATGATCCAGATGATGCGGCGAGGGCGATGGTGATGCTGCTACTGGTGTCGATGATGATGATGATGAACAACGACGATGCCCATGTGCTTAAAGTGGTATTGCTCACGCGTAGGGCTCTCAAGATAGCAAAGATGCAGCATCAAAGCAATCGTTCAAAGCAATCAAAACCCTTCCAGTGCAAAGCCCCTACAAAGCAATCGCTCAAAAACTTCAAAACCCTTCAACACAAAGCCCCTATAAGGAAAAAGCCCCTGAAACCTGGAACCCTCAACCCTAAAAGCCCGAAAAAGCCCAGGCATGCTCGAGCTCAGCACCTGGCGCCTGGGTGTTCCCCTGTCCCTCGGTGCGGCGGCGCCCAGCCGGGCGCTATGGAAGCTCCACGAAGCCGTGGGTCAGGAGCCGGTTTAGGGCTTCCCCATAGGCCCTAAAGTAGTTCTTCTTGGGGTTCATATATATATATATATATATAGAATCCTATAAGGTAATCCCAAAAAGGAACTACCATGGGGCCTATGGGTCGGGAAGCCCTAGAAGTGCGAGTCGTGAGAGTCGAAAAGGCCCGTAGCTCATAGAACGAAAGGTTCATGTAAAGGTTAGTATATTACCGCTTTTATTCCTGTACGGCTACTGGCTGCTTAAGAATATCAGGCTATCAAGTGCCACATACCTATTGAAACCATTCTACCGCCAATGCTGAGCAGCATGATTACTTTGAAGCATGCTCACAATCCCCCTATACACTAATTAAACCCTGAACCATATGCCTCGCCTGGAGTGTCCGAGTGTGAGCGCCGACACCCTGAACCCGTCGAAACCTTAAACCGTCAGAAAGGCCCTACACCGTATGCCTGCAGTGTCGAGTGTGTGAGTCGAAACCTTGTCGGGTACCCAGCTCAGCGAATGGGATTTCGAGCCAAATCCTGAGACGTCGAAAATTTTAGGTTTTGAGGAGTTAGGATTCAGGGGTTTCGGATTTAGGGGTTTAGGGTTCAGGGTAAAGGGATTGTAAAGGGATTAGGATTTAGGGGTTTCGGGTTTAGGGTTCAAAGTTCAGGGTCAGGGTTTAGTTTACGGGTTGGGGATAAAGTTTATGGGGTGGACAGAACTCTGCGCCCTGATGCCTGAAATTCCCAAAGGCAGAATCCCGATCGATCACCTTCTTACCTACGTTTTCTGTCATTGGGATGTCGCGATGCTGGGGGTTTCACACGAAGGTTCTGAGAACCCGAAGCCGTAAACCGTAGACCTGATAGAGGGTAGTTCGGTTCGTGTTCTCGAATGATGCTCAAGGAGCTTCTGGCGACGCGGTTCTGGGTTGAGCTTTGCTCCCAATTCAACGGTTCCTTTGGGTTGCCTGGCACCCAAAGAGGTCTTGAGGCTTATGGAACAAAGCCACAGAACTTGAAAGGCCAAGCCAAGCCCTGGAAATCTGAGTCCTACAGTCCCAGAAAAACCCGAAAATCCTTGAAACTCATAACTTCTGCGTCAGGAGCGACTTCTGGTTCTTCCGTTCAAAGAGCTCATTTCGAAGCAGCTGTCCTGCTTTGACCAGCTGCTAGTCTTCCTGGGACTCCCAGCATCTCGGCCTTAGCTCTGACATGTGTGTGTGTATATATATATATATATATTTAGATTTATTTTTTGGTTTTATTTATTTTTATTTACATTAACATAATTAGATATGTATATAGGCACAGGGGTGGGGCCTTTTCATCCTAGACCAGGGGTTCGGGGTTTGGGTTTAGGGGGTAGGCCGGTTTTACGGGTTTAAGCTGGGTTTAGGGATTGGTAACGGGGCCGTTGCAGGTAGAGTGCGGATCGAACATTTTCAGAAGGGCTGGAGTACAGGGGCTTGATGAGGGCTCCTTGGATTCATAACTTGTCTAGCGCAAGGGGCTTCATCCGTAGAGCTGGGTTTTGTGGGGTATACTGCTAGTTTTACCTTTCAGCTTTCTCCCCAAACCCTAAACCCCCAAACCCCTAAAGCCCTAAGCCCCTAAACCCTAAACCTTAACTCCTAACTTCTAACCCCTAAAACCCTAAACCCCTAAACCCAACCGTAAACCCCATAAACCCTCAACCCTTAAAGCCTATAAACCCTAGAAACTAAACCGTGCCCTGAAGGCCTCAGCTGGCGAGCTCCTGCCCGCGAATGTCCGCCGAAGGCGGACCCGCGCTGACCGCCGGCACCTGGGCTTCGGCAGATTCCGCGGCTAGAATGTCGGGGCCGTACGCTTTCTATGAGGTTTCCGTAAGAGGGTGTTGCAAAATTGTACGGATTCTATAGGGGTGTTCTTGCGGATCCTAATATAGAGGCCGTCATAGTTAGAATCGGGTTTTGGGGTATCGGTATGTTCTAATTCTGTACCTGCTAATTGTGTTAGGCAACACGGGATGTTCTTAAGTCTTATTAGTTACTATTGCTTGCCAGGACGTCATCCTTCCTGATGCTCTAACTGCTCTTCGGCCGCCCCGCTCCCTGCTCCTCCTACTAAGATTGAAGCCGCGGCAACGACTGCATCTACGACGACGAAGAGGCTGTTACGAAAACCGTGCGACGGTTAGTGCCGTTGTGCATAGTCCACTCTTGCTGCCTCGGACACTGCCGCCGCTTTTGCTGCGGTGACTATGACGATTACACCGACCACGCGAGGACCCCCATGACCAACACAGGCGCTGACCACGAGCAAGGCTGGCCCTGCAGCTGCTTCTCCGGCTACTGTTACACCTGCTGCTACAATGGCTACTGTCCCTACTTGGACTTAGACTAAAAGGACCACGACGATGACGCCGACAACGACCAACTACATGCTACTCACTTCTCTCGATCTCTCCCTCTCTCTCTGTCCCATCTTCCCGTGTTAATCTTCTAAATCGCCAAGCCCCAATCCGACAAACCGAAACGCCTCTGAACCCTACAAGCCTCCACGTCAAGCCCGTATCGGCCGCTAGACCCTCAATGAAGAATACCTGAGGGCGGATGTTGCCTTGAAGAATGAGACGTCTCGTCTGCAGGAGTTCTTCCGCCGCCTGGCGATTGAAGGGTAGTTGAGGGCCTTTCGGGCTGGCAGGGTTTGGGGGTTCGGCGCTTTAGGGTTTGAGGGTGTGGGGTTTAGGGCTTCAGAGAATCTTCAGGGTTTAGAGTTTAGCCTGTAGGGGTTACAGTTCGGGGTTTGGAATTGGAGTTTAAGACATTTGGCATACCTCTGTTTGTAGGGCTTGTAGTTCATATGAGACCCATATACCCCATTAATGCAGAACCCATGAACCTGAAAGTCTTGGATTCGCTGCATCGGACGATGAGAGTGAAGCCGCATGAAATCACCGTTTAGCGTCCTGGGAGGTGTGTGAAGCCGTATGCTCGGAATACCAAATACCTCGTTCTCCACCCCCGGTGGCACCACAGCCTCTTCGATTCCATTTTATGGAGGCTACGTACTTCCCACTGTTCGCAAGCTCCGAAACCAGAACTGAAGTCGTCCGCAACGGTGGTTGCATTCTGATGCCCCGTACACGCTTGTTGCTTAGGGTCGCACACCAGTCGGCCCGAAATCAATTCAAGAGCAAGTCAGGATCGGAACGAGAGTCAGCCGCTGGACTGCTGGCCTGTGCGGCACGAGTTGCAGACCTAGGGCAGCTGCAGTTTGAAATGCGGGGCTCGGGAACTTCATGGTTGACTCTTTGTGCCTTGTGTGAACCCCTTTTGAGTGTCACACCGAGTGTGGTACGTGCCCAATGTTTTTGCACACATGTTGCAATGCTTCGAAAGCAGCAATAGCAACCCCGTAGCCGTAACGACTTAATGGCCGCATGGTTTAAAGCTTGCGGCTTAGGGCTTGCCAAGGAAAGAAGCTTACATAACATCTGTGCCCGTAGCATGGCTGCAGGCACCTGTCATCGAGAGTTCAACCATGGTGCTTCAACCCTAAGCAGCAGCTGGACAAACACAGGAATTGCACGCGATGCCCGGAGCCAAGTACAGCGCAAAACGAGCTATGACTCTGCGGAAATTTTGGCCCTGTGACGGCCACGCCGCTGTAGACGGTTCGAGCAATGGAGGCTCAGGATCATTCTGTCTTTCTGGGAACGGCGGAAAGCTGTGACGAAGGCCATCTCACCAGGGCTTCTTGCCGCTTCCGAGATCGAAACCTTTAGCCTGGGTGGCTTTGATTAAGTTAGAAAGGATTTCAAGGGGCCGAGGGGTTTGGGGGCTGGCT